GGAACTGGCGGGAAGTTTGAAAGTTAAAAATAAAAAAACCGAAAAAAAGAGAGAAAATTAAGTAAAAAAAAAATATCATACCGCCAGGGAGGTATACAAAACGCGAACGAAAAAAAAGGTGCTAAAAACGCGCAAAAAACGAGCTGAAAAACAAGCAGAAAAAACGCGCCTATAGTATGCCCAGGTGTGAACCCAGCCTAAAAACTGACCAAACACAAAATATATTCAGGACATCTCGGCATTGCATGCACATTTCCCTTTTATTTGCAATGTTATCAGCCCTGCCCGGTTTTCCGCTACTGGACTACAGAACACATCCCCCTCTCCATACAGTAAGAGGGAGGAGTGCTAGAGTCCAGCAGGTGAAAGCAGGTCTGACAACACTACTTGGGATTTCAGTGCAGCAGAGGCAGTGTTGTTATCTCAAAACAGGAAGTTAGGAGCACCCCGGATTTCTGACAGATCAAGAGTTCCTTTTCTGTACTTGCAGTGTTGTTAAAGGGATAAAACATGAAGCATGTAATGTAGAGATGTACTGAATATGGTTTTTTAAAAATGTGTCCATTATACTTTATTGTTTTGTGGTTCTATACAAGCTGCACTTTCCCAGACAGCAAGGATAACTTGCTACAAACTTGTGTCAGGGTTAAATTGTAATTCTTGTTAACTTGCTGCACACATTCCTGGCAAGTTGTAGACTTGCAGAACACTTGCAGCACAAGTTCTAGTTGACACTTTTTGAATTTGTAGTAAATTTGCTTGGCAAGTCTACAAGAGTCCTGCAGGTCTTAGCAAGAGCTCTGCAAGTGTACAGCACTTTTGCAAAGCACGTTGATCTGGAGACTTGCAATGCAGACTTGCTGTAATTGTGCAACACAATTGTGAAGCTTGGCAAGTCTAGCAATAGTTTAGCAAGTCATTTTCAAACTTGCTGCTCATTTGCTTGCTGCTCCTTCTCACAATGCAAGTTTACAAGTTGGCCAATGTGTTGAAAACAATACACTCCCTGTGTGGCTGATATCTTATCTTAAAGAGGAAATTCAGGATTTTCAAACGTTAAAGGAGAACTATGGGGTTAAGGCTTTTCCCCATAGTTCTCCTTAGGGTAACGGGAGGACACAAACCCATCACCCTAGGCTCAGTATACCGCGAACTACAGCTCGCGGTATACTGAGACGCCGCAGCTGAAGCGGATCCCCGACAATTGTGTGACTGACAGCTGGTTCTGCCTATCTGGAGGCAAAGCCAGCTGTACCCGCCCCCTCGGAGCGGGGAGGGTGGAATCCAGCCCCTCCCCTGTCACGGCAGAGAGCCGTGACAGGATCGAGAGGTGAGCGAACGCCGGTATGTGTTCGCTCACCTCCCGATCTACTGAGCCGACCTGTGACAGTCTCATTGTCACAGGTCGGCTAGAACTATGAGGTGAGTGAAAAGCACTCACCTCATAGTTCTCCTTTAACCCTTGCAGCGGGCCTACCCCACACACTGTAAGGGTTAACTGCTCATTTCAAAATCCTTTTTTCCAAATCCTTGCATTGTGATTTAAGTCGACCAAACACCAGTAGAGTTTCGTTTTTTGGAACATTTGTTCAGTTTCCCAGTGGTTAGTGGGGTCTTTTCAACCACAGTGATGAAGAAAACTGAAGACTCAGGATGGAAAAATGTTTATGTTTCTTAGCTGAAGGAACGATGATTTTCATTCATACATAGTTACATAGTATTTGAGGTTGAATAAAGACATAAGTCCATCAAGTCCAACCTATTGCTTATTTCACATACATATTGTAATGTGAAAAGAAACCTATTTATTACGTCTGGGGTTCCATTCAAGGATCAGATGTGGATGACATTTTTAAAGACTTTTGAATTAAATAAATTGACTCCATGATGGAGAGATCAAATTCTCTGATGAATGTGCGTTCACATGAAATTCTAACAATACATGGCCAGCTTTAGTTTATCTTTGCAGCTTCTGCTCAATGTCGTGTTGCATACTGATGACCCATTTTGTTTTGCGTTGTGTTAACAGGAGATTTGTGACAACCCTCAATTCATTGTGGATGGAGCCACACGGGGAGACATCTGTCAAGGCGCCCTAGGTAAGTACCCCAGTGGACCCTCATGTGATATGTGACGGGGCATTACACACAGCAAACAATCAAAGGCAATATCTTTATTATTAGGGATGCACCGATACCAATACGAGTACTCGGCCAAATGCTCCAATGCCTAGCCCGATAGCAGAGCTTCCGGTATCGGGGCAGCGGGTCATTGGTCACGAGGGAGCATGGAGCTGGCTCCCTGGCTAATCAGGAAGCCGTGCAGCATGTAATGACGCGCCGCCTAGCTTCCTGATTGGTCAGGAAGCTAGCTTCACGCTCCCTCGTTACCTGGTGACAAGGAAGCATGGAGCCGGCTTCCTGGCCAATCAGGAAGCCAGGCGCCGTGTAATGACTCGTTGCCTGGCTTCCTGATTAGCCAGCTTCAACCAATCTTTTTTGTGTATCACTTCAATCTTATTTGTGTATCACTCGGCTGTAGATCCTCAAAACATCATGTGTGTGTTGTAATGTAGCCACCGCTCCAAGCTCGCTCCTGTGATAGACTACAATCTCAATACAAATTTGTAAACTAAACATGGGATTGTAGTCCATCACAGGAGTGAGCTTGGAGCAGTGACTACTTTACAACACACACAGGGACCATGTAGAACAAACATAGCCACCCTCCAGAAGGAAGGACAGTGTCAGCACCAATTCAGAGATGATTTGAGGATCTACAGCCAAGTGATACATAAATAAGATATGCTGATGATGATGATAATGATGCGTTGGGCAATATTCTGCTAGGAAACCTTGGGTCCTGCCATTCATGTGGATGTTACATTGACAAGTACCACCTACCTAAACATTGTTAGTGACCAATTACACCCTTTTTATGAAAACATCATTCCCTGATGGCAGTGGTCCCTTTCAGCAGGATAATGTGCCCTGCCGCACTGCAAAAATGGTTCAAGAATGGTTTGAGGAACACTACATGGAGTTTGAGGTGTTGACTTAGCCTTCAAATTCTCCCAATCTCAATCCAATCAAGCATCTTTGGAATGTGCTGGAAAAACTAATCCCATCCATGGAGGCCCCACTTTGAAATTTACAGGACTTAAAGGATCTGCTACTGAAGGCTTAGTGCCAGATACCACAGCATACCTTCAGAGGTCTAGTGGAGTCCATGCCTCAAAGGATCAGGGCTTTTGACGGTAAAAGGGGCAACTACTCAATATTAGGCAGATGGACATAATGTTATGGCTGATCAGTGTGTGTGTATGTGTATATATATATACTGTATATATATATATATATATATATATAAATAAAATGAACTAGGATCACACTAATCCAGCACGTTATTAATCTCACGTGCCCCACTCAATATGGCCGCCGCTTGAGTGGGGCAACTCAGAAAAATAACGTGCTGGATTAGTGTGATCCTAGTTCATGTTATTACTTCATTGCTGTGCTGTATGTGTATAGGCCAATGCCTTGGCTGGCGCTCGTGCCGAAAGTTTCTTGGGCAAACTCACTGGCGAGAAGGGAGAAATTAATCTTTAATTTCCACTGCCCTTATATATAATATACATACATACATATAAATATATTGTTAGGCTGGAGTTCTGCTTTAAAGCAATGTAATAAATCATAGTAACCACAGCACATATTCACCTGTCTGAGACGTGTTGCAGTGAAGTGGAGCGGTCAGGAACACATCATCCAGGTTAGTCACAAACCAAACAGCGAGGTGAGGTGGAGATTCTCCCTTTGTTTAATAAAGGTGTATATGGAGAATAGAGTTCAGATTATCAGCATTCCTGCAGATCCGAGATACAGTCTTCGGCCTGTTGTGTTAGACTGACACTGAGGGGCCGAATAATTTAAAAAAACAGGCATTTGGGGGGCATTTGACATTTGACAAGTGTTTACAGATGCCATCATCTAGATCACAGGTCCTCAAATATTTTTAAACTTTCCATTAGACTGATGCGGTGCCAGCCTGTGGCTGATAGGTGTACAAAAATGCACCAAGGGTCAGAGGTCAGAGGGAGAAAATAGGCTGACTTGACCACTGTGTGGACCCCTCAGAACACCAAACACCCCTGTCAGTGATGGTTCTCATTCATCCAGGTCATGGTATATCTGTAAAAAATAAGTCAAGGCAACTGGACTTGCTGTATTTTTCTTGAAGACGTTTCACTGGTTATGAGCTTTCTCAATTCAGAATGACTTGTACAAAAACTCTCTTGGAATAAATATGGTGAATGTCACTCCAATCCACATAATCCACAAACACCTGGTTGTGATTAACAGATTATGTGGATTGGAGCGACATTCACCATATTTATTCCCAGATAATTTTTTGTACAAGTAATTCTGTATTGAGAAAGCTGGTCTGATGTCCAGTTAAACATCTTCAAGAAAAATACAGCAAGTCCAGTTGCCTTGACTTATTTTTTACCCCTGTTCGAAAAAAATATATTTTTCAATCAAATTGTGTCAAAGTTGCCGATAAGCGACTGCAGCCAATTTGGCAGGAGAAGGTGGGGGGCCGGGTGGTGGGGGGGTTGTCTTGCCTTGCTGTGCCCACACACATACATGCGGATGACACCATAGGACCCTGCAAGGGAAAGGAGACACCCTAATACAGGATATCAGAACCAGTGCTCAGGGGACGAGCTGATTCTGCAGGAAACTATAACTTTTACACATCAGGGAGCAGCCTCCATTGTAAGTGATTTCATCAAAATCAGAAATAGCTTAAAGGAGAACTATGGGGTTAAGGCTTTTCCCCATAGTTCTCCTTAGGGTAATGGGAGGACACAAACTAGCGTCCTACCATCACCCTAGGCTCAGTATACTGCGAGCTGTAGCTTGCGGTATACTGAGACGCCGCAGTATACCGCAAGCTGCTGCTCACGGTATACTAAGACACCGCAGCTGAAGCGGATCCCGACAATTATGTCTGGATCCGCCCAGCTGCGTGACTGACAGCTGGCTCTGCCTATCTAGAGGCAGAGCCAGCTGTACCCGCCCCCTCAACTGTCCGTTCCGCCAGTCAGCGCTGGCGGAGCGGGGAGGTGGGAATCCAGCCCCTCCCCTGTCACGGCAGAGAGCTGTGACAGGATCGAGAGGTGAGCGAACGCCGGTATGTGTTTGCTCACCTCCCGATCTACTGAGCCGACCTGTGACAGTCTCATTGTCACAGGTCGGCTAGAACTATGAGGTGAGAGAAAAGCACTCACCTCATAGTTCTCCTTTAAAAACCTGTTGACTTTAATATCACTTTAATGGCTGATTTTCAGTATTGCGGGTTTTCAGGAGTCCTGCAGTAAACTTAAGTGCTAAGAATGAAACATAACTTTCAGTAATTTCACAGATCTGGATGGACAGGTCACAATATACAACATAAGTATAAATTTTTAATAAAGCTCCACCTTTTGACAAAAGAAAAACATTCTTCAACAGGGGCGTACCGAGGCCGGGTGTCACCCGGAGCAGAGACCTGGGTGACGTCATTGTGCATGCGCGGCCGTCTAACTGACGCCTGCCGGCGGCCATCTTGGTGGTGGACGCCGGCCGAGATAGGAGGGGACGTGCACACGGCGGGATGAAGTATGCCGCCGGGTCCCCTCTTCTCATCTGACGCTGTCGGGTCCATGACTGAGTGCCCGACATTTTAGAGGGGGTGACACCAAAATGACTGTGAGCCATTTTGGTGTCACCCCTCCAATGGCATCACCTGAGTGCGGGCCGCTCCCCCTACCGTGACACCACTGTCCTTGAGCACCAGTCAGGTTGCCAAGGCTGAGATTATGTCATCTGTCTGCTGCAGGCAGGAGGAAGAAGTTCCTCAGTCTCCTCTCCCCCCAGTGATCAAACTGTAACATTGTAACTTTGTATCAAGTCACATGGTTACCGGCTGCAGCGGTGGCCGATCTGAGTCAGGCATTTGTGAACACAGCCAAGACCTGCAAAGGCAAATAGATTACATGATTGTGTCATCTCTGAGCCAGCATCTCAGTCCAGGAAGTAGATGGTGACCCTGGATGATGGCTGAATAAAGATGGCGCTGTCCTTCTGGCATTGTCAGGGGGAATACTGTGATCTCTGTGAGAGGTAAACGAATCATGTGTATTAAAATTGAAATTGCTGTCATTTTAGATTTTAACATCTCAGGCCATGTATTTCAAAGCTCCATTGTCTGACACAGGTGACTGCTGGCTCCTGGCCGCCATCGCCTCCCTCACCTTGGATCAGGACATTTTGTCCCGAGTTGTTCCAGAGAATCAGAGCTTTCAGAAGAACTATGCCGGAATCTTCCACTACCAGGTGAGCAGATGGTATTCTAACACTTATAGATCAGCGTATGTTGCAACCGCTTCACTAGTACACAACACCAAAGCTAACAAAGCCGGCCATGAAAGATATATAAGCTGCAATTGCTGACTTCCTTCTGAAAATGCCAGTTCCCTGGTTGTCATGCTGAACCTCTGACTCCAATCTTTGAGTAGGTGACCCAAGTATGTAAATTGGGAGTTCTGTGGTATATATTTTCACCATATTGATCCTGATTGGTCCCGAGACTTTACAGTGCTGCAGCTACTACTGTAACCAAATATCAAATTGCTTCCTGACCCCATCATAGTATTGAGAATATGTCCTGGAACGATCACCTCCCACTTGACGCTAGGTTCACACCTGCACTACACCGCACGTCACCCGGGACAGCGATTGCCGCGCGGCCCCAATGATTTCAATGGAGTGACATCCGTGCGGCAATCGCAGGAAAAAGGTACAAGTACCTTTTTTTTTTGGCAATACACGACACACGGCTGTTTTCGTGTTCGGAAGCACGGGCAGAATCGCGGCGGTAAACCACGCGGTCCGCCCGGTGCGACTGGGGTGCCATTAGAAAATAATGGCACCCACAGCGCGATCTGCACGGAATCGTGCACGATTGCCGCGGGGCAAGGTGCCGCCTAGGTGTGAACCTAGCCTAATAGTAATTAATGCCCCAGCTACTCTCTGGCATGGGAAAAGACATCCGATACATTTTCTGATGCATTTAAAATGAACCTGTGTCCAGGCAGTAAAAGGACTTTAAAACAAGCTCCTATTCACCTCTGTAGTTATACGCAGTATGGAGAAGTTCATTTTCAAAGTTCACAATACAGACACAGACATATCAACTTCTTAAAGGGAACGGAATCTGGGCCATCTGCCAGACCTCTGATGTACAAACTCACAGCGGGTGTTTCTAAAGTTTGAAAATGAATCACTTCACAGTACAATCCAATACTGAGGTCAGTGAGGGCTTGTTTCATAGCTTTGTTTTGTTTTTTTACAGCTTAAAGGCATAGTCCACCTTTTGCAAAACAAAATGATAAATTCACCCACATTAAAAAAATAACAATGATAATTAGGGATGCATCGTATATCATAATGCCGAAAGTGCCATTTTCTGGCCGATACAGCAGTGCATCCATTCTTTCTCTCCTCCCCGCTGGGACACTGTGACAGGCGGCCGAGCACTGCAGGAGGAGAGCACTGTGATCGGCTGCCGTCTCTCTTCCCCGCACCGCTCAGACTCCTGTCACAGCTCAGAGGAGAGCGGTCTGTGGGCGGAGATAGCCAGCGCTGTCACAGGAGTCTGAGCTCGGTGATCAGTGATCACTGTCTGTTTGTAAATAATTGAGGACAGCGTATGTTTACTAAATTCTCCATTATGAATGATTGGGAAGTGATCTACATCACCTACTGTCCATTTATGATTGTGGTTATAGTAAATACTGTCCGCAAGTTATGAATGAACAGAACACTCAGCAAAGAGGATTTAAATTTAGCGACTATCTGCATAATAATGGAGTATTCTTTACAAAATATGTAAATTGTGTCCATAGTCTGTGTACAGTTACTCTTTAATGGACCCTCAATGGCACCCAACACTCTGGGCTGGTGATGGAAACGTCGTTTCTCATGGTTTCCCTACTGATGCTTTTCAATTACATGGTTGGCACTCTTTTTTCTTTTAACAATCAAGTCTTTGGGCACCTTAGAGGTACATTCACACTGGTTAAGTGCGTTATGTTAATATGCATTACGTGATAAGGAAATACATTCATTTTGGATGGACTGTCAGCACACCCCACTAGACCCCACACCGGACCCTTGTATATTCAGTAGCACCTTGTAGCATACCATAGCAATGTTTATTTGGTTTATTTCACCAACCCCAATACTCACATCTTTTCTCCTTTCCCAGTTCTGGCAGTACGGCGAGTGGGTGGACGTGGTGGTGGACGATCGGCTGCCTACAAAGGACGGACATCTGCTATTTGTACACTCGGCAGAGGGGAATGAGTTCTGGGGAGCACTGCTGGAAAAGGCTTATGCCAAGTAAGTCCCTCGAACCAACACAGTTTTAGGCCTTATGTTGAAAGTTATACTTCCTCTCCATGCTGCTTACCTCCATCTGAAAATGCAAGCTGGCTGGGCTGTCCTTTGGCCTCAATGTCCTGGAACAAGTGTTGCAAATCATGACCGGAGGTTCTCAGATCAGAGACTCCAAGAAGTTGAGCAAGAGCCTCAACATGACAGCCAGGCAGCTAGCATTTTCAGAAGGTGAGGTCAACAGTAGGAGCCTCTGTGTCCTCCTTTAATTAGGATCAATGTATTTCTTTTTCTGTTTTATTTGGAAGCCGGTAAGTCAGCAAATCCGGCCCTCCAAGTGTTGTGGAACTACAAGTCCCATGAGGCATTGCAAAACTGACAGTTACAGGCATGACTCTCAGAGGTAGAGGCATGTTTGGAATTGTAGTTAAAGCGCAGCTGGAGGCCAGATTTGCCCACCCTTGCTGTAGGTGTTACTGTTTCATGTACTGATTGCCATAGAACAAGGGTAGGAGACCTTGACACTCCAGCTGTGAAGGAACTACCCCCTGGGAAGTCCCATAAGACACTGCAAGACTTTGACAGCCTCAGGCAGGCCCCCCAGAGGCAGAGGCATTATGGGATTTGTAGAGTCAGCACAGCTTGAGTGCCAAGGTTGCCTACCCCTGCCATAGAAGCTGCTTTGTCCCATTTATAGAATGTCCGTTCTCCTTTACTGGCAGGCTGAACGGATCATACGAGGCTCTGACAGGTGGAACCACCATTGAAGGCTTTGAAGACTTCACAGGGGGGATATCGGAGGTGTATGACCTGAAGAAAGCGCCGGCTGATCTCTATGAGATTATCCAGAAGGCTCTGAAAGCCGAGTCACTGCTTGGTTGCTCTATCGATGTGAGTTCTGACATCCTATAAATCACATATTGCACTGCTTTCCCATATGGTGTAAAGCGCTGTGCTAACTGTTGGCACTATATAAACCCTGTATTATAATTGATAACACTAATGTACCGTGAGGTGTAGATGTAATCTTTTTTATCAGGTTCACTGCAACCTAAAAGTTATTTCAAGGGTTCCTTCATGTTAAAAGCTTGAGAAAGGCTGCTCTATTGTATTCTCCTTCACTCCTCCCTCGGCAGCTACATAAAAGATTATGTAGGGAGGTAAGGGGAGGGGTGAGGGAGCTGGGACAGCACAGAAAGTAATTAGACACTCCCAGAAGAGTAGAGGCCTGTGATGTGCAAGGAGGGAGGGGGCAGTGGTGGGGAATTGACTCTCCAGGAGTAGCCAAATTTTGTAGCAAGTTTAAAAGCACATTGGAAGTGAATAAAAAATAGTTAATGGAAAGCAAAATGCTGCGTGTAAGAATTCAGAATATTAGATTTTTCTGTGCAATTTGTTAAGTTGGTAACAGGGTCTCTTTAAGCTGTGTCATTGTGCTTCTTTATCCAACCAGATTACAAATGCTTATGACACAGAAGCCATCACAAGCCGGAAGCTGGTGAAGGGACATGCATATTCAGTGACCGGAGCAGAGGAGGTATGGAAGAGTCACATTCTATAGTACATAAAGTGCTGACAGATTGGGTAAAGTGAACCTGTTGTTTTGCCAATTTAAGGCAAACTAGCAGGTAATTTTGACAGCTCACACTGCCTATCACTGGTTGCCAGGACCTAAGCGGGACAGGTCAGCCCCCGCTCCTCCCGAACATTCACCACGAGCCACCAAAACCCCCCCAAAGAGCACCTACACCCCCCATCCCGAAGCGTGCAACAGAAAATGATCTGGTCTTGTTTCGTTTCCAGGTTGTCTACAAGGGTCAGACGGTCCAGCTGATCAGAGTGAGGAACCCCTGGGGCGAGGTGGAATGGAATGGACCCTGGAGTGACGAGTGAGCATTGAATTTCCTTTTATACACATTTAACAAGTACAGGTTGGCTTAATATGTATATAATCCAAAGCTATTTTTTTTAGATTTGGAGAAAGTGGGGAAGGCTTAGAACCTTTGTCAGGTTTTTATTTCTGTCAATGTTCCTGCTATGGGAGATTCATCCCTCTCTTTGTCCTGTCACCAAGAAAGAACGTGATGGGAAGCCCAACATTGTCACTAGAACAGGAACAGTGGGGGAAATACTCCAATGGGGAAAGTTACAACGACAGCTTCCTAAAATTTGATTTCCTCTCGCTTCCCATTGGGTCTCCAGGACAGGAAGTAAAAGGAAATCTCCCTGAAATGATCCACTCACCAGCCAGTTTTGGCTTTAGATAAACTTACTTTCACAGTGCCGATGCTCTGTACTGTAGGAAAATGAAGGGTTAAAGACAAAATTGCTATTTGTATGCCTGATCATTACACTGCCCATTTTATCTGTAGCAATACACGGCCTATGTATGGGGTGAGAACAAGAATGCTGAAACATCAAATTTATGTTTTGCATACAGTGTAAGATGTCTCATTATAGGAGTCCTTTTCAGGTAAGGACCTTGAAAACAAAGTAGAATTCCTGAAAAGGATCATTATTATATGAAAGTGCTAAACTAAGAGTTAAATCTTAAAAATACATTCAAGTACCCTTACTATTAACAGAAATGTGACTTATTTGTGTATCACTCGGCTGTAGATCCTCAAATCATCTCTGAATTGGTGCTGACACTGTCCTTCCTTCTGGAGGGGGGCTACTTTTGTTCCCCATGGTCCATGTGTGTGTTGTAATGTAGCCATCACACCAAGCTCGCTCCTGTGATGGACTACAATCTCAATACAAATTAGTAAACTGAACATGAGATTGTAGTCCATCACGCGAGCGAGCTTGGAGCGGTGACTATTCTTTGGGGATGAATTATATTAATTGGAATTATACTTGAGTAGTGCTCAGAGCCGATGAAATAACCCGGGTCATCATTAGTTGTCTAGGGGATTTGGTCTTCAGCTGCCCCATTAGCATTTAACTGTCCTCTTCTAGTGCCCACAAAGCTGAGGGATCCTACACATCCAGGGTGTAACAGACTCCCGATTCACCAGACCTCAGTGTATATCCACTTGCAGTACAGAGAGTAGTAATTGGAGTAACAGATGAGCAGGAGATGAGTACAGATCCTCAGCAGGAGAGACACCAGCAATGCTCCAGAGGTCTTCTATGTTCCACGTACCTTCAGCAGTCATCAGCTTCCTTGGTTCTCTTCTGATAACAACATAGGCCTCCTCCATACCTGAGGCCTAGGCAAACACTTCCCAAACTCCAGCCTCTGCCCACCCCCAGGCCTCAGGCCTAGCCTTGGGGGGGGGCTGGACAGCACCCAGTCCAGTGCTTATCCATGGCTGGTCCCGAACTAGTCTGAGCACATGGCAATTACCTCCATACCTCTATATGTACCCTATCCCAGCATGCAACACTGGTTGAGAGAAACCCAGGGATTGGCTACTGTACTGTACTGCACATACACTCACAGCATCCCTCATTGGATGTCCCACAATACAGCAGAGTCACACTCCACCCAAGGGGGGTACAGTCAATGCCAGACACCTAGAATTATCCAGATAAATGCCAACTATAATCCAACCAGGCTGACTACAGCCCTGGCTATCACTAAATGTCTAGTAGCCACCTCACAGAAGGTGATGGGGGCTATACTTGTTTGATGTTAATTGTGTGTAGCTGTGGCGCCCCAAATATCTCAGTAGAAAAGCATTCTATGGCCGGGCAGTTTTAACAGAGTATATCATTTTACACTGTATTCTGTTTTTGTATCTTTTTATTTATAGAGCCCCAGAATGGAACTATATTGATCCTAAAGTGAAAGCGGCTCTGGACAAACAGTCTGACGATGGGGAATTCTGGTGAGTGCACCGACTGAAAGGTGACACATTTCATACTTCTTATGTGTAGATTTATCCACTTGAATTTTTCTTGAATCTCTTTACATTGAAAAGATAATGGTGTTCTGCAGAATACAGGGTACAGGGTACAGTGCCCCATTCACACAGTAACTGAACTTCCCTCCAGTGTACTTATCCCTGCTGCATGTTGCTGGGCAGGTAGCCCAAGCAGAATAGTCTCTCTTTTGCCATGAGGAATTAGATTTGAACTTCAGGTTTTGGTCAGTTTGCTCAGATCTGACTATGAACAATGTCATTTCTGGGAGATTAATACTGTAATAGATGTTTATGTCAGCAGTAGACATGTGGGATTCATTTTATCCCGAATCAAAATTCGTCCAAATCTTCCAAAATTCGGACATTTGGACACATTCGAATGTGTTCGAATCCGAATTTCCATTTCCAAATTTCGGATCCCGTCCGAATTCCGTTCAAAAACGAAACTGAAGCGAGCATGTGACTTTTCCAGCTAATCAGATGTGTTTTTCAGATTAATGCATCCGAATAGGTCTGAAAAATTGTGTTTAGTATATACTCCTAGACCCACCTTTAGTAGGTGGGTCTAGGAGTATATACTCATAGAGTATATGAGGCTCCTAGACCCACGTTTAGTAATATATGTATATGGCTCCCAGACCCAAATGCTATTTGGAAATTTGGATCCTGAATGCCATTGGGGTCTGGGAGCCCTATACTGTACATGTATTACTAAAGCTGAGGCTCCCAGACTCGATTGGCATTCAGGAGCTCCCGGATGCAATTGGGAAATTCGGATCCCAAATGCCATACGGATCTAGGAGATTCAGCTTTAGTATTAATATCTGTATATGGTTTTATGTGCCAGTCGTAATGGATATACGTTCGTAAACTTATCTGAAACTAACGAAATTCGGATTTCGTCTGAATCCGAAACCCGAACTGAATTGAATTTCGGATCCGAATCCCGAGTTCTGAAATATTGGAACCGAACCGAATTTTTCCGCAGCCTACATGTCTAGTCAGTAGCCTTTAAGCAAGAATTCTGACATGCAAAGCTTCTTAAAAGTAACTAAATCCAAGAACAAACATTTATTGTATATATCCCTCAGGGGCAGGGCCCTCCTTACCATCTTGTTATGAATTGTAATGTCTTCCTTATATTGTAAAGCGCTGCGCAAACTGTTGGAGCTATATAAAAACTATGTAGTAATAATAATAATAATATCAGTGTTATTCATAATAGTGCCTAAATGTGGTGGTGGCCGCGTTATTTTTTCTTTTTATCAGGCTAAGATTATTTCGTCAATTCAAAAAATAACTGTTGGACTTGCCAGACATGCACTGAACTCCCTTCTTGTGAGATTAACTTGAAACAATGTTATCTTCTTTATGTAAATTACTAATCTCCCTATTCCCTGGTGACAGTGCTTGAGTCTGGTCTGCTGACAGGTCCCTATTCCCCATGTAATGGAGATGAACAAAGGCAGACATGTTTCAAGTATAGCCTGGGTAGCAGTCATGGCTCCCTCCATAGATACAGTGGAGGAGTGAGCGTAGCCACCCAGGGACAGGAAGTGTGTTATTCGCATGATCACCAATGAAAATAAAGGCAAACAAAGTCCAAAAAAAGAAAAACTAATGCAGCCATCAAATCTAAAGACTTGTAAGCTGCAATACAGTATATGACATTTTTGTTTTCAAGTTTAGATACACTTTAACAGATCTGCCCTATAAAAAGTCATGAAATTATAGGAGCATGAGCAAGTAAAATGTGAACATCACACTAAATACGGGTCTGATTTATGAAGCATATTGGTGATTTGGGGCATCAGATTGGAGGGCCCAGAGAGAATGTAACAAGGACAGGAAGGAAAATGAACTTTTTTTCTTTAATTATTTTTGGACTTTCCACGTAGTCATATTTTGGTGTCTGCACAGGATGGCATTTTCAGATTTTATTAAAGAATATTCGCGTCTGGAGATCTGTAACCTGAGTCCGGACACTCTGACCAGTAAAGAGCAGCACAAGTGGAACATCACCTTATTTAACGGGAGCTGGGTTCGAGGGTCAACGGCAGGAGGGTGCCAGAATTACCCAGGTAAGGGATGCACTGGGAATACTATAGGTGCTGGAGCTGTTGGTTCCTCATGGGTGGGGGCAACATTTCCCATGTGTCATATTCTCCATACCACATCCAGTCATTGTTACTATGGAATTCAGATTGTATCCATTTCAGTTTTAAAAAAATGACAACAATGTAAAATTTAAATTTTTATATGACATACATTTGGGGTTATCAATTTTTCCTCAAATGTTTTAACTCCTAGGAGGATGGGGCTTAACGTAAATGTACTTGGGTTTGCACAAATATGGCACCATCGGTGGAGGTTAAACCAAACCTACAGACTAGGCAATGTAACACTAAAGTAGACCGGTGGCCTGCCCGCTATACAACTAGATGTTTCCCACCACTGTATGACAAGATCTGGGGCCCATGGTCTCTATCACCAATTATAGTCCAGGAGAATTGTAACATATACTTTTGTCATATCTGTAAATATTTTTTTACCATGTCCCCTGTTAAAACCACAGTCACTATCTATACTTCTATGTCTTCACCAATGAAAGGCAAGAGAACTGTATTCTTTCTTGTTGGTCTTTGTATTTTTTTTGTACTTGCATATTGCAAAGCCAATAAAAGTAGATCTGTGGGCAGGCTATGGACATTCAAGCACTTACATATTCTTATCAAGTAGTAAACTAGCTTTAAACCAAGCTCACAATGACCTCCATAGCTGCAGGAACTTTGGAGCAATTCATCCTCAAGGTTCAGAGAAGAAACACTGCAGTCATTCAAGTCATTCTCTCAGTAGCTCTGCTCACCCTGATCCCCCCTACCAGAGCACCTGCACTCTATTTGCATCACTGCTGGGTGAAGGAGCTTAGTTGAGGAGTCACTGTTGGGACGGTGGGTCAAAGTAAACTGAGCTGATAAGTCACTAATTAGAGGTAGAGCAAGGGGAGCTGAGCTGCTGAGTCACTGCTGGGAGGCGATGCAGGGGGATGTATGTTGCGGAGTCATTGATGGGAGAGGGGAGCACAATGAGCTGAGCTGCTAATCGCTGCTGGGATGGGGGCGGGGGCAGGAGGAATTGAGCTGCTGTGCATATGACTTGAACAGCTATTGTGCTTCTCTGCAAGGAGTCTGCATGTTCTCCCTGTGCTTGTGTGGGTTTCCTCCGGGTACTCCGGTTTCTTCCCACACTTCAAAGACATGCTTGGAGGTTAGTTGGCTTCTGTCTAAATGTTCCTTTTAAGCTTCTCGAGGGCAGGGACTGATGTGAATGTGCAACGCAAATTGTAATTGTAAAGTGCTGCGCATATAGTCGGCGCTATATAAATACCTGTAATAAATAACATACTGTGAAATTTGAGGATGCATTTCTCCACAGTGTCTGCAGCTACAGAGGTTAGTGATGGCTTGTGCTGAATCTCATTTACTACTTAAACAGAAAGTAAATGCATGAATGCCCATGGCTTGGTCACAGATTCACTTTAATGTGACTGTCTGCTACCTACACAGTGGTGCTCACCTCAACCTCTGGTGACAGTGCTTGAGTCTGCTGATATTCAGTCTTACTTTGCTTTATTGGGCAAAATTTTTTCCCCCTCATTTTGGATAGAGTAGGGGAGCATTAAAACTGATGTCAATAATTGTTTTGCCATCTGTGCCTGATTAGGGAGATTTCCTTCACTTCCTGTCCTGTAAGCTCAACAGGAAATGTGAGAAAATCTTTCAAATGTGAGCAATATCTCTGAGACAGTTGTCACAGGAAAAGGTGTCCCAATTGGAAGCTTTCCTCTCCATTTGTATTCTGGTGGCAACTCAAAATTTTGGTTTCAACCCTCACACAGGCAGCCATGAAAACCTGACACGGGCTCTAACCTCATCACTCAATCCAATTCTAAAGAAAAAAAAGTAGTTGATTGTGAAATGTTAAAGATGAATAGTAATCTATATCCGTATATGTGATATCTATTTTAAACAGCAACATTTTGGACGAACCCTCAGTTTCAGATAAAGCTGGAGGAGGCTGACCATGATCATGACGGATCCTCCAAAGATCCTTGTTGTACCCTTATTGTGGGCCTCTTGCAGAAGAACCGGAGGCGGCAGAGAAAAATAGGCGAGGATTTGTTGAGTATCGGCTTTGCACTGTACAAGGTTAGTGATCACTTTGTTCTTCGGGAAGGTGGCCTCTCCTCTAAAATGCTCTACAATTTCAAGTGATGTTCCTGCACTTTTGTTAATACATTCGGAGTAAAGGTGATGGCTTGTGCCTCCACTTTAGTTTTAGCCATCCATCTTCTGACATCATTATATGATTATATATAAAAATAAACTATTGACTACAGACAGTGTTAATTTTGACAGCAAATTTAATTTTAGTCTTACTCTAAAGGGGTTAGTCACGAAGGAGCTGAAGGATCCAGCCTTAGCTTTGGCTGATCCTTCGGCTCTCTTCGGCCACCGGAGCCCTTCGGTTCAGTCGAACCGAAGGGCTGCTGTACGGGCTATTCACAATAGCCCGTACAGCAGCCGAAGGCTGCCAAGCGGTTCAGCCGAGCAGAAGGCATATGCTTCAGCGCAACTGAGCCAAACTGACAGTCGAAGCGGGGCGAGTGGCCTGCCGAAGGCCCGCAAATGACAGCTGAGCGCAGCCAGCCAGGATCTCACTGCCGTACGGCCCCTATGAGAATGGGGCGAACGGCAGTGAGTGAGCTGCTGGAGCTTCGGCTCAGCCGGTCCAGATGTTGGATCTGCTGAGTCGAAGTCCTTCTGCACTTCGGCTCAGCAGACAATGCAGAGCATGGTGGGCTGACCGAAGTGCCACCAAAGGCAGCCAATGTACGGCTGATTTCAGCCAATGTACAGCTGAAATCAGTCGTACTGAGTCGGAGTGAATAGCCGAACGTTGTTCGGTTCACTTCACTTTGGCTCGGTTATTCACTCGGCTGCCTTCGGCAGCTTTGTGAATAACCCCCTTAGTCTTTTGACGAAAATTAATTTTTATTTGTAGTCTTATTTTAGTCATCCGATTAATTTTTATGTTAGTCTAGTTATAGTCGACTAAAATCGAATAGGTTTATTTTTAGTGCAATGCATTATTTAAGCAATTCTCTAGAATTTCCAAATTCATTTCATTATATATTCCTGGAGTAAATCTCTACTAACCTGTTATATAATTACAGTTATGGTATTAAGATTTGAGCATGCTATAGAGACATAGATTTAGCCGCTGTGAATAGAACGTCTTCATTTATCTTAAAATTAAAACAAAGTTTCATAAACAAACAAGAGTATTACTTTTTCACAAACAGACGTGCAACTTTATATGAAAAAAAACTTTATTGACATTAACCCCATTGCACATATTATCTGAATTGCTAGCTGGTGCCCCGCTGGGTAGATTAGTAGGTTATTATTCAGTTGTTCACATCTCCCTACTACAGGAAGTGCTCGGGGAACCAGAAGCCAAATGCACTAGCCTGGGTACTAATTTTCGTTTCGCTCCCAGAATTTTCTTTTGTTAACGTGCAGGACGACAGTTTGTTTTCGTCCCATTAACTACTCTAAAGTTTCGTTTTTGTTTCGTTTTCATCATTGAAAAATGGGCAAAAAAAAAAAGACGAAATGAACTACAAATGTACATATTTAGATTTCTTTGATCCGAATGGGCAACAATTCAGTGTCCATTTGGACAGCACATGACAGCCCCCTGAACTAGCATTCTTGGGGAACAAATTGGGAAGTATTGAAAGACCATTCATCATTTTCACTGGACTGGGGCTTTCTCTGTGGGGTTTCCACTCCCTTCTCTGTTGCTCTAAACAGGAGCAGTCCTACAACTAGAGCACTTCCTTATAGGTTTGAAACTGGCCTAGGAGATGTTGCATGCACATTCACTCATCTTTTTATGTCCTATGAAGCCTAAATTCAGTCAAACCTTCTATTTAGTTTGTGATAGAGTGAGGGAGGGTTGAAGCCTTTCTCAGGTTTTTGTTGTTTTCTGTGTCCCTATTGAAAAGAATTTCCCTCATTTCCTGTCAGAACAGGAAGTGGTGCGAAATCTCTTCAAGTGTGGACACATTTATAGTAGAGAAGGGTTAGAACTTCTGCCAATTCTTTTATTACTGTCTTTGCCTTCCTGTTATGGTGACACCCACACCCCCATTCCTTGTATAGGTGTCACACGGACAGGAAGCAAGGAGAAATTTCCCCACTTGGTTCACTGACAGGAATAAAACACAACAGAATTTTAAAGCTGAACTCTGGGCAGATGTTAAAAATACACAGATTAAATTAGCTCTGTAATTATGAATACATTATTAAATGTATTGCTGAGTATGACCTGGTATCAGCCTCTTGTAGTCCCTGTACAGCAGGGCTGGATTGTAAGAGGAAGACGCAGTACAAGTAGCCAATCAGTTCATGTGCTGACAAGGTGCATGCTGATAAGAGGAGAAAGCAGGGCAGGGCAGTGAGATGAGCTCATCACTGTGCTGCTTTTCCTTTCACTGTCCAGTCACAGGCTGGGTGGATCCAGAGGAAGTTGTTTAAATGCTGCTGACCATCAGACTGATGACATCTAGTGGCAGAAAAAAAGTACTGCGGGGGAATCTCTGTATTGAAGATAAATATTGCAGCAATATTTGGTTTTGTTATTGTATATTTTAAGGGGCTGTTTATTTATATTGTTATTTTTGGCGGCAGTTTTCTTTTAACTCCCGCACTCTATCCCATTTTGTCTGAAGTTAGCTTAGTTCCTACGCTTGTGCATATTCCCGTGTTATGAGCAGCCATCCACTAGTTCACCAAAAGGGAATGCTGGCAGAGGAAGTTCTTTGTATAACTTTGTAGAATCGGGTCCATCCCTCCAGACTTGTATTGAATCCTGGAACACTGACTTCCTCTTTGTCCATAGTATAACAATCACAAATTCACTCATACAACACTCTTTTTTTTTCTTTCTTGCAGGTTCCAAAAGAGGTACATTGAGTTTGATGCCATTCAATCTCCCTCCACCATACTTTGCATTTAAATAATGATGAGAGAAATTGATGTTGTTGGATCTTACAACGGAATTGTTCCTGTTCTATTCAGAATAAGTTCTCACTTTATTACTTTAAAATCTGTACCATGTGAAGCTACAATGGCAGTTTACATTTTTTGCTGAGTTAAAGGCAAAGTCCAATTTAAAAAAAATAATAATAATAACAAATACACATTCATAAAAGAAAAATCTGCAATGTGATCATTTTCCATGACATACCCCAAATATGGTTGTAACATGAAGCTTGGTATTAAAGGTAAACTTATCCTTGAAATATAATAGGTGTCTGTATAATACACAGTAATATTAGTGATAGTAAAAATTACTGGAGGGGCAAAAATGACAATTGTATTATTTTTTCTTATCTGCCATACCCTGCCTCTCGCATCATATTAGATAATCTGCCTGTCATTCACTCATCTGGAGAATATCGTTTTTCTTTTCTATTGGACTTATTGAAATATCACTGACTCGGGAGGGAGGCAGACAAAAAGAGAAGTCTCTAAATAAGCCTTTCTAAACCTTTTTCCCCCCAGAGAAACCCTCAAAGCCCCATCTGACAACTCCTCCTAGAGGAGAAGGCCACAGACTGGGCTTGGTGTTGTTTGTTGGTTTTACTATTGAGCAATTCTACAGCTTGCCACCGGCTTCTTTATGGATCCTTGGATAGTTTGGGGCAAGGATGAGCCCGTGCCCTGGTTTGGGTATCCGATAGCCAAGGAGGTGACCCAGTTTACAGGACTTGAAAGCAGCACACTAAAGATCTTGGGAGCAGCGGACTAAAGGTCTTGGGAGCAGCAGACTACAGGGCTTGGGAGTAGCGGACTACAGGGCTTGGGAGTAGCAAACTACAGGGCGTTGGAGCAGCGGACTACAGGGCTTGGGAGCAGCGGACTACAGGGCTTGAGAACAGTGGACTACAGGGCTTGGGAGCAGCGGACTACAGGGCTTGGGAGCAGCTGAATACAGGACTTGAGAGCAGCTGAATACAGGACTTGAGAGCAGCTGACTACAGGGGTTGAGAGCAGCGAACTACAGGGCCTCGGAGCAGCGGACTACTTCTGAGGTTTTATTACTGTCTGTGTCCCTCCTGGGGGTATTTAGCCTCTCTATTTGTCCCGGTGACCACTGTCATTGGCACAAAAAGTGATAGGAAATCCGAAATTTTAAAACTGGCTCCTGGAAAGGAAGAAATGTGAACTCTTACAACAGGGACACTTGTTTCAATGACAACTATCTAAAAGGGAATTTTAGTCACTATAAGTAGATGTACTATCACTTCATGTTGTGTCTCCAAGACAGGAAGTGAACAAAGAAACCTTGACAGGGGTCCTTACCTTATCAAAGACTAAAGTTTTGGGTGTAGATATACTTTAATGTTGTCTGTCATTCCTTTAGGCTCAGGACAAAACAGACGTCCACCTCAGGAATGATTTTTTCCAGACTAATCTCTCGGCCGCTCGTTCTGACACTTACATCAACATGCGGGAAGTCTCCAAACGCATGAAGTTACCCATCGGAGATTATCTCATTGTACCATCCACCTTTGAACCTTTTAAAAATGGAGACTTCTGCCTGCGCGTCTTCTCGGAAAAAGCTGCTAAATCACTGTAAGTGTCAATGACAGGTCATTGGGCTTACTACCAACACACTATTAAAATGCAATAGATGATGGTACATCACATTCTGATTGGGCTGGTACTGTCAGTAAGCGTCACATGATGGACTGCTGGGTTTCTGGCCAGGGATCAATGGTAATAGACAGTAATCGCCTTAAAATAAATCTACTGTCAAAACGTGTTTTAATTTTGCATAGTTTTTTGCAACGGATTAGACCTTCTGTTGGGACTTATCTCATTGCTTACAGCCCTGTAAAGGTGGACAAGTTCTCTTTAATGTGTTTTGTGTATAAGGTATGTTTTAAGTGAGTGCAAATCTTTCATTATAATTGTATAGTTTGCATGTACATGTAGTGCTCACCCACGAAGAAGCCGCTGGATGAACGGGTCTTCCATAGCCTGCCTAAGAATTTTCAGCAACCTGGCTGCCCCAATAGCACTTACTGTACCATCCTCTGTGGCGACCGATAAACATGAGATCCAGACTGTGGATATGATGCTGAAGAAACTTTATTGTAGAACTTCAGGGAGAGAGGTTTGGGGCTAGGAACATCTAGGATGGTGTAGACTCCTTTAAGTGGTAGAACAAAGTATCTGCTGCCTCCACAGACTAGGACGTTTATGCCAGAAGTCACCAGTCATCTTCATCCCTGGTGTTAGTAGCAGCCACTGGGCCTCCAGACTCAGGCCTCAGTGTAAGCACATGGCTAGTCCCCTAGGCTACAGGCCTAGCCAAATCAGACAGTCCGTAGCAGCCTCCACCCAGGAAGGGCCCCGGGGGAGGTAGAGAGCCTCACTTGGTCCGCCCCAAATATTTATGTCCTCTCCCAGCATGTACCACTGGCCATGAACCTCCTAGTGATTGGCCAGGGAGACAAAGATATTCATTACAATCTTTTATTGGTTGCTATGCTCTGTGGCAAGGATACACCCAGCAGCAGGCAGATGCAAACGATAGCAGATTGCTTAGGGGAAACCAAATGAGCATACACTATAACACTATAGATCAGCATAAGACTGAATACAATCTGACCACAATTCAATTTTAATAAGCACTCCTGCTTACAGGGTGCTATTTATTGGTATTTATATAGCGCTGACAATTTACACAGCACTTTACACAGTGCACATTTTTGTACTTTAGTCACGGCCCTCAAGGAGCTTACAAACTAGGGTCCCTATCTCACATATATACAAACGAAGGCCAATTTAGAGAGGAGCCATGTCTTTGGAGTGTGGTAGGAAATCGGAGTACCCAGAGGAAACCCACACAAACACAGAGGGAACATGCAAACTCCATGTAGATAGTGATCTGGCTGGGATTCAAATATTGACGCCAAACCACTGCAGTTTTCCTTTAATTTTGACATTTTTTGTTTTTGTTTTGTTCCCCCCAGGGAAGTTGGAGAGGTGGTAAAAGCAAATCCTTATGAGGTAAGTGCCGATTCGGCCCCAAATTCTTAGTCCTAAATGATACAATGTCATTCTATATGTTGAACCAAGATTTAATTTGGTTATGGAGCGGTAGAAATTTGCATCAGTCTAAAACATTCTGGCTCAGGGATGTGGTGGTACCGGATGAGGGGAGAAGTGAAAGTAAGGGGCTGGATACGGATTCCTAAAATTATGATATGAAGGATGAAGTCCTCAATGAATTGTGTTCTGTGGTTCTCCACAAACTGGGGATCTCCCTGGGGGCCAAAGAGTTGAGAAGTCTACATATATATTTCCATTATAGGATTTGAGGGGACCACTAATTGGAACCGCAACAAGTTTATGTGTGTATAAACCAAAAGCAGCACCAAACAGACATTTTTAGAGGGCAGCAAGCAGGCCGGATTTCCCACAAGGGCAACCAAGGCCTGGCCTCGGGGCAGCAGGGAGTAGAGGGGCAGCAGGGGTGTGGGATTCCTATCTCCCGATGCCCGGGAAATGCAGTTCCGGGCGGGTAGTTGTTTTCTACATTTAGCCCTGCTTTGGGCAAGCAGAGCTTGATGAACATGGCCTTGGGGCAGCAGAGAGAGTAAATCCGGCTCTGGCAACAAGTATTTATTTGGTTCCTCTGCTGACAACAGGACAATAGTGGCAGGCAATACGTTTTGAAGCCAAACAATTCCCCTTTTGGAGTCAGCAGAGCAGCTTGACTCCAAGAACATCTGGTTGGCGCTTCTTTAGATTTATATCCTCATAGACTTCTTGTGGTCCCCTCAGTCTACAATTTAAATGCCATTTACAGTGACGGCTATGGTGTATTAAAGCAACTTTGATGCTATACACACGCTACCCAGGCAAGCTATCCCTGTAAAAAAAGAATGTAAATCCCTACTTCTGCCACCTGTACTTCTGCCACATGTGCCACTGAACATGGCTCAGATCCTGCAAAATCGACTTCTGAACTCCACTCGGAAACCAACACTTCTGGGAGGGTCAATCTCCTGAGTCCACCACTACTCTCACTGGTTCCAACCTGCTGAGCTACCGTCCCTCCATCACTTCCCTGAGAAAATCCCACCACAGGTCTGATTAACAGAAGATCCTGGATGGAGGAATATGAATGGCCTCTGCACAGAAGCATGTGGCCATGGTGGGCAGTCTGGAAGGAGGTGTTTAATTTGCTGGATGTGTTGGTGCATATAGCATTGGGATATCGTGTTTGTATAGAAAGGCAGATTGGCCACCCCTACACAGGAAGTCGAGGTGGCTGAATCTTATAATATTATTAAGACAAACTTGTGGCCTGGAGGCAAAATGATGAAGGACCAGACATGTATTTTTTTATTTTTTTTTACACAAATACATTTTAAGGAATAATCACCCAATCAAATAGATTAGAAAGATTATGAAATTATTATATATATATATGTATTAAAGTTTTGGATAAAAGAGAATTTACAGTGATTGAAGAGGGTCGAAACAACAGACAAAATGGGATTTCTTTCAGCTAAACTTCACTGGGCTCCCAAGATTGTGGAAACGTTGCATAAAATTGGAGACTAATTTGTTGTTTAGAGCTCCCCAGAAATCCAGTAACGCCTTGAAATAACTATTTCTGTTCTCCCTCAGCCTCAGATATCCGACCAAGATGTGTCTGCCGACTTCAAGAATATTTTCCAGAAAATGGCAGGGGACGTAAGTAACTTTGAAACATCCTCACTATACATTACACTGCCCATTGGTGTCATTGTTTCTCATTGCTTACTGCTTCTTATCTATTGTAGAAAGGAGAAATCAATGCTAAGGATATTCAGGCAATTCTCAACAAGCTTCTAGCAAGGAGTAAGTTTATCTTTTCTACCATAACTTTTATTTTAAAGGGAAAATACAGCGTCTACAGCAAGCCAATGATTTCTAGTTATTACTGCAATGTATTAGGGACATGTTAGGCCCCCAGTAAGGTTGTTTTTTGCTGTCTATATGCCATTGGAGAAATTACAAATTATCCACAATAATTCACTTCCTCCCCAATGGGGACACAAGGAAATACAAAACACATTTTAGTATACTACTGAAAGATTACCACGTCTGAAAATTTCTTATTGCTGCCTGCGTGTTCCTATCCCAGTGACACACCCCTCATTTCTTGTTTTGGGGCCACAGGCACAAGATGAAAACCTGAAAAAAAATTTAACTGGAGTCCTTAAAGTATTTTTATATAAATTTCACATCTTTACCTGCTTGCTCTTCCATATTTGTGTTATTCTTTAAAAAAAGAGATGTATTAAATAGCCACTAGAGGGAGCAAACACTTTTTTTATTTTTAAATCAGTCTGCGTATCTTATGAACTGTTCCAATTGGATATCACTTACCCATTTCCACAGGCAGATGCAAAAACCTGACATAAATGTTAACACTTCTCCACTCTATAAAAAAAAGAAGCTGGAGTGTTTAAAGTATTTTTTTTTACTATCACAAATTTTTATCAAGGTTTTGGACAAGACAACGAAATAAAATACACATAGCATCTCGCAGGATACTTACTGTTACACAGTCATGTAAGGTCATATCATTGCATAATGATAACTGTTATGACAAATCAGGTATATTAGATGCTCATAAAGGGACAAAAAACAAAGGTACATTTCACATAATGAGCTCAAAAGAACAATATTAAGAGACCAAGAAGGGGGAAAGGGTAAAAGTATAGGAAGGAGGAAGAATAGAAAAAGATCAGGGAGGTATCCGGGACACAGGGAGTGGAGATCGGTATTGTAACAGGAACTCTCAGCTAAGGAGACTCAGAAATGTGTAGGTATTGCATCCATGGCTCCCATACCCGTTCGAATTTACTTCGGGTATCTCCGAGGATGCTTCTCAGTTTCTCGTGTACCATTATCCATGACAGTTTAGAAATAACTTGTCTGAACGGAACTGCCGGGGATTTTCAGGCCTGTGCCAAGGAAATGTTTGCAGCCAGAAAGAAGAATGATAATAATTTGGCTTCGGGCTTGGATAAACCAGGGACTGGACGATTCAATAAAACATACTGTGGGTCACGAGGTGGTCGGATCTGGAGTACTTTATAGATCAAGGCATAAAGTCTATTCCAATATGGGCGGAGGCGCAGACATTCCCACCAAGTGTTAAAGTATTTTTTTAATATAACTTTTACATGTTTGCTTGCTTGCTCTTCCATATTTGTGTTATTCAATTAAATATAGAGATTTGTATATGAGCCACTAGATGGAGCAAACACTGATTTTTAAATCACGCTGCATTCCTTCTTAATAACAGTTGCCATTAGATATTACTTATAAAGCTTTGTTATTGAAGAGCTGACCATCTTATACACATGCTTTTTATACACATGCCTTGTAAGAAGACATGTGTGACAGAAATCAGCAGGGCTGTAGCTACCATGGGGCGAGTGAGGCACTCGCCTCAGGCGCAGCTGAGAGGGGGTGCAGCCAGGGCCGGCCTGGCTACGCCCTCTCGCCCCTGTTGCCATGGCGCGCACAGGGCGCCATTGGCAACAGGGGCGCCAGGTGGCCAACACAGCCGCGCGCTCGGCAGCGAGAAGAGGAGTGGCACAGGTTCAAGCTTCTCCTCGGATCCCCACTGCTCTCCCCCTGCCTGTATGGGCTGAGGACTCCGTGTCCTCAATCTCTTTTTCTATTTCAAAAGGGAAATGTCAGGAGTCTGTTTAGACCCCTGATATTTCCCCGTAGCCCCCCCCCCCCAACAGTGAAAAAAACAAAAATGAATAAAAAATAAAAAACAAAAAAGACCCCCCCCCACACACACACACACACACACGCGCACATTACTAGACATGTGGAAAGACTAAAAATGTGTTTCAGACGAAATAAACGGAAACTAAAAATACTTTTTGGATTTGGCCACCAGGGCATTCTGCACATGTGCTCCACCATCCTGGAGGTGGGGCACATGACGTCACATACCGCACAGGTCTATTGGGGGGCACAATTTTCTGTTCTTGCCTCGGGCGCAAAAGGGAGCTAGCTACGGCTCTGGAAATCCAAACATTTTATAGAGCAATTGCAATAAGCCATTGAAAGCTCCCTCTAGCGGCTAATCTACAAATACCAGAAGTATCTGTATCAGGAGCTCTGACATCCTCTGCAATCTTGATACACAGAACACAGCTGACTTCGAAGTTAAAGGAGAACTCCGGGCAAATCTTTAAAAATCCTTGCAGTGGGGCTACCCCCACACTGCAAGGGTTGACTGTTCATTTTTGTCTAGGCGCTAAAAAAAAGGTATACTCGCCCGAACCTCTGAGCCGGCTCTTTGCTTCTCTGGTCTCTGAAGCCTCTCTCCCCCTATGCCGCAGCATTTTGGAATGTTCCTAGCGTTCTCATGTCTATACACTGTGTATAGAACGTGATGATTTATAGGACCTTAGACTGCTGCAGTGGAGGGGGAGAGAGGCTGGAAGGGCCGGTCTAAGAGCAAACCGGCTCCGCGTTTCGGGTGAGTATAATTTTTTTTTTAGCACCCAGACAAAAACGAGCAGGTAACCTTTGCAGTGAGGGGGTAGCACCACTGCAGGGGTTAATAAAGGTTCTGTGGTTCACAGAATGGATAAAAAAAATTGAAATAACACCACACAGGGCAACACTAAAATTCTGGCATGAACAACAGGTATTTGTTTTACTTATTGAACAGATATAACCATGCACTTTCAATGGTACATGTAACAGACCAAAATGTAGCAAATAAGAGAAGTTCATTATTGGGGTTCACATATTTTAACCCTGGTTATGGCACTCTCAAAAGACAGGTGAAAGTATACAATGTATTTTTATTTTATTTTTAGGAACAGACTTAAAATCCACTGGATTTACACTGGTGACCTGCAGAGAGATGGTCTCTCTCATGGATGTATCCTTTTTGTAACACTCTCCATAAACAATATATAGAGAGAGATATGATAGACTCAGACTGTAATTTTGGAAAAGCCGTATTAGGCGCACGGGCTGATTTATGACCAAATTATTTTATCGTCATCGATGATTTCAGATAAAATCTTTGGTTGTCTTTGATCGTTAGGTCTGTCTACATCGCAGATGTACAATGGCTATGGACCCTCAGTTGGCCACCGGCAGGAAACAATTTCTTGGACTGATAATGGCTTTGGAAGCCATTGCCAGTAGAAAGATTTTCATCAGGGTGTTAGAAGATGACGGCTGCTTAAAAAAATTGCAGTTTCCTCCGGATTCTAATTCATTTGACCTGCAGCCATGTCTCACACAGGACCCTAAGTTTCAATGGTCAGAGGCACCCACCACAGATCCATCTACAAGCTGCCTCAGTACAACTGTGATGTCTCTTTAAGGTCCTGTTAATCAACAAATGATGAACGCCTATTTATGCACCTATAGGTCTAAAACGCATTACATTCAGATACTGTTTTTGATGCATTTAAGGCACATTAATAAACTCTTGCCAATTGCCCTCTCTGTGTTGGTTTCTCAATTTTTTAAAGGGTAAGTAATGTAGAGGAACTGCCTGGTACTGGCTGTACAGGCACAGGTTCTGGCTGGCAATGGTACTGGCAGTAGAGGCACTGGTTTTGAGTGGCACTAATATTGTTTGTACAGGCACTGGTACTGGATAACAAGGGTATTGAGTGGCACTGGCTGTACAGGCACTGGTTCTGGCTGGCACTGGTACTGGCAGTACAGGCACTAGTTTTGACTGGCACTAATACTGTTTTACAGGCACTGGTTCTGGCTGGAACTGGTACTGGATAACAAGGGTATTGACTGGCACTGGTACTGGCTGTACAGGCACTGATTCTGGCTGGCACTGGCTGTACAGGCACTGGTTCTGGCTGGCATTGATACTGGCAGTACAGGCACTAGTTTTGACTGGCACTGATACTGTTTGTACAGGCAATGGTTCTGGCTGGCACTGGTACGGGATAGCAAGGATATTGGCTGGCACTGGTTCTGGCTGGCACTGGTACCAGAAATACAGGCACTGGTTTTAAGTGGCACTGATACTGTTTGTACAGGAACTGGTTTTGGCTGGTACTGGATAGCAAGGGTATTGGCTGACACTGGCTATACAGGCATTGGTTCTGGCTGGCACTGGCTGTACAGGCACTGATTCTGGCTGCAACTGGACTGAATTGCACTGGTTCAGTACAAAACAGAAAGGAAGTGGCTACTGGAGCTGTACTATCCTCTATCATTTCCTGGTGCTTTCTGAGATATTAGGAACCCCCACTGCCTTTTCCTCAGTGCCTTGTAAACTCTTCCTGAATGTACCGATACCACTATATGCACAGGTTAAGACATATTTTCACTTGTATAAATGGTGGTGGTTGCCAAGCAGGAAAGCCTCCTGAACGCAACAAGTTGTATAATTTTTGCTGCACAGCAATGTGATGCGATGTAACTGCACATGTGTGTACTTCACTGTCTGGTGACCATTGAGCAATCTCTCAGATGTGTGTTGGTTGGTGGTTGAAGAGCTTTAAAGATGCGAGTCTTCCACCTTGTGTTGTCGTACTTGTGAATGAGACCTTTTTTAATGAATGCAACAATTTGTGTTATTTGTAGATCTGCCTAGAGTTCAACTTTCAAGTTTCAAGCAGTAAAAAGAAATAGAGATGTCACTAATAAATGGTAGCTATACACTGAGTGGCCAGATTATTATGACCACCCCATCAGTACTTCGTTGGGCCACCTTTTGCCTTCAATACTGCGGCGATTCTTCTTGGCATTGACTCCACGAGATGTTGAAAGGTGATGCGAGGAATCTGACACCATGCCTGATGAATAGCACTGTCCAGTTCTGTGAGATTTGATGGTTGTGGAACCAGCTGCCTGATGGCTCTTTCAACTTCGTCCCACAAATGCTCAATTGGATTGAGATCTGGTGATTGTGGGGGCCACCTAAGCAAGGTAAAGTCTCCCTCATGTTCTTGAAACCACTCCTGCACAATACGAGCACCGTGGCATGGCGCATTGTCTTGTTGGAAGAAGCCATCTCCATTGGGATACGCCATCAACATGATAGGATGAACTTGATCAGCAACGATACTTTGGTATGTTGTGCTATTCAGACGTCGTTCCACACGAATTAAAGGGCCCAAATCATGCCAGGAAAACATGCCCCAAACCATAACACTGCCCCCACCAGCTTGAAGGGTTGTACTCATGCATGTGGGGTGCATGCTTTCATGCTGTTCCCGCCAAATTCTCACTCTGCCATCTGCATGATGCAACTGGAAACGTGATTAATCGGACCACATGACTTTTTTCCAATGCTCGACTGTCCAATCCTTGTGTTCCTGTGCGAATTGGAGACGTTTTATCTTGTTAACTGCAGACAGCAAAGGTGTTGGAACAGGCCTTCGGCTTCCATATCCCATACGATGCAGTGTACGGTGAACAGTGCGTTCAGAGATCATTTGAGAGGATCCGTGATTAAGATCTGCAGTAATTTAATGCACTGTTGCCCTTCTGTTGTCTTGTACCAGTCTTGCCACTCACCGTTCTGCCCCAACATTGAACAGGCGCTGACGGCCACAATTCGCACCTTCAGACCCAGATTTTCGGCTGACCGTCCAGTCTTTAAACACTTTAACAACAGCTGCTCTTGAACATTTAACAAATTCTGCTGTTTTGCTGATACTCGCTCCATGGTTCTGAGCGCCAACAATCATCCCACATTCAAAGGCTGTTAAATCGCTTTGTTTACCCATATCTTCAGAAACAAATCACTTCTACTGTCGTGGTAAACAACCTGCTTCCCTATTTATAATGGTCTGGCCCTCTAGCAACTTCAGCGCAAAATTATAGCTAATTTGCCTACAAACGTCAGGTGGTCATAATAATCTGGCCACTCAGTGTATATGCCCTGATGTTCACAAGAATACAAAAACAACAACTCATCAGCTTGTCTTTGGAGCTGACCTTCCAAAATTGGAGACATTCCAGAAAGTGCTGTAGTCACTGTTTGGCAAAGAAATTTCAGAGTGGCTCCTTTAACAAAAGTCAACTGAGAAATTGACTTTTGTGAAATGGAGACGTGCCGACGGGGGTCACACACTGAATGTCAGCCAAGTCAGCGGGACAAATTTTTAGCAGTGTACAGCCAGCTCCAAGGAGGATGCTGATTGGGTCTCACTTGCCAAAAACTGGTCTGGCTTTGCAATGGTTCCCGTAAATGACAGACATAATGTGACCTAGTAAAGGGGCTGTGAGAGCCCTTTATTAGTACATAGCGGAATACCGTTATTTTCAGTAACACCGTTATTGGCCAGTTTCGACAAAAAACTGTTTGTGGCTTTCTTGGAAAATGATTGGCTTCAGAATTATTGACCTTCTATGATGACATGTGATTAAAAAAGATATATTCTTTGACTGAGATCTGTTCAGATGGATGGCACTGGAACGCTGAGTCTGGTAGAATTCAGAACCCTCTGGATGAAGATACAGAAATATTTGGTACATATTTCTTCCTATTGCACGTTTCCTAAAAAAATAACAATAATTAGGCAATTACAGCAGCTCTGCACCCTAAGGGGGTGACATGTAGTTTGCAGATACACTGTGTATCAAATAACATTTATTTTCAAAGGCCAAATCTACTTTTCCCCCACCCTCCATCCTCCCTCCCTGACAATTTGTTTTTTCCAAAAAATCTCATTATACTTACCTTATTTCCTGATGTCCTCTGGGGGGTCCACTGATATCATTGGTATCAACCTGGGACGTGCGGTCAGGTGAGTCAGAGCCTCACCTAGTATTATGGAGGAAAAAGCTGTCAGCTTCATGTTTAAAGCTGACAGCTTTTTCTCCATTCAGATCGGCTTCTATCAGGTTACAGAGCAAGGAAATCCTCCCCACTGTGTCATGGACGTAGCGCTAATAATCAATTGATAGTATGTTGCGCTAGGTGAAATTGTTACAACAACTCCATCTCTCCTCTAGTGGAGTTGTGATTAGTGAATGTGGTCTGTCCGAATTTCTCTAACGTGATATACTTTGTTGAATAATACATTATTAAATTCTGTATTTAGTGTCCAGACTGTTATTATTCAATATAATAAATTATATTGAACAATAATAAATTATATTGAACAATAACAGTCTGGACAGACCACATTCACTGATCACAACTCCACTAGAAGGGAGATGTTGTAACAATTTCACATAGCGCAACATACTATCAATTGATTATTCACGGTTTTACCACACATTGTTGCAGCTGGTATTATTTTAGACAAACAGTATACTCCTAGCGCAACTAGTTGTTGTTGTATATGGACGTAGCGCTGCCTGTTAATTACAGGCAGCGCTGCATCCAGCTTTTGACAGGTAGTTAGGTTACACAGCAGCGGGCTTCCCCACTGCTTGTGTAACCTAACTATTGAGGCAAGAGCTGCAACAGCCTCTACTCTGTGTTAGAGGCGTGAGCTCTGTGGATGGCATTGGACCAATGGCAAAGCGCCATTGGTCCAAGCTGTCCAATCAAAAAAACAAAACAAAAACAAAACACTGAGGCCATCGAACTCGATACCTCACCAGTGATGAGCCAGAAGTGAGGGACAGGGAGGCTCCTCCCTTCCTCCTTCACGCTAGCTTGGGGACCGGTGGCGGGACGTGCTGGTGGCGAGGCTGGGGAATGCCTGACCTGGAATCAGAGGTACCGCACGTCACTGGTATCAACTGTGTGTGGTCCTTGCTCCTGAAGGGCGAGGTGCTCGTATAATCTAAGCCCTGGTCCTTCTGATGCTATGCTCTCATGGGGCATGTTCATGGCACGTTGGGCTCACAGGAAGTGAGTTGTACAACCCTAGGCATCATCCAACTCAGAACAGGACCTAGTGATGGATTGGAGAATAGTAAGTCTATAAGGGAAAGCACCAGAGTGGAGGTGAGTATTGCAGCAAGACCTGATTTTGTGTTTTTTTTCTTAGACACCCTGCTCCACTAATCACATGAGTTTTATTGAGCATTAATAAGAGAATTCTAATGGGTGCATCAAGGGGCATGTTCTAAACAGTAGAACAGTCAAGAGTTTACTCACAGCATAGTAGTAAAATGACTCAGAATTGTAGAAAAATTTACTCCAGTGGACCATTTCTTGGCTGCAAATGGTAAACGTGAAACATTAATGAACTGCGATGATGACTGATGTAATGTTTATAAAACATTTTACATTTACTTCAATAAAAGTCAAAACATTTTAAAATCTTTTGCATCTTTAATAAATTAAATATAAGCTTTTAAAATCCCTTTAAATGTGGTCTGCTTACAGGATATCTTCAGTAAAGCAGACACAGACAAATCAGGCACCATGGATGCCCATGAAATGAGGACGGCCTTGTACAACGCAGGTAACCGATTGGAGGCTGGTTTTGTCCCAGTCATATACAATTGTGTCTGTTCATGCAAGGTGAGGATCATACTGGAGGGACTGAAGAGAAGGAGCCCCACCTCATGTTGAGAGGATCAATGAATACCATGTGACCTGAAGGAGTCTGGGAGAGAGGTGTGCTGGACTTGTAGTATATTTGATGGCAGAATGAGTTATTAAAGAGAAGCTGTATCATTCAGAAAACTTACCTTTTATCATTAAAAATCCATCCTTGTACTTTGATCTAGTCTCTTTGCCTAGATTGAGATGATGTCCTCAGTCTGCTGCAGGCTGGAGGAAGAATTTCCTCAGTCTCCCCTCCCCCCAGTGGTCAGATTTCAACACTGTACCTTTGTAGCAAGTCACCATGTGGGAGGCTGCAGCAGGTGCTGATCTGTGTCAGACATTTGTGAAGACAGCCAAGAGTCGTCTGTGAAGGTTCTCATTCATCCAGGTCATGGTATATCTGTAAAAAATAAGTCAAGGCAACTGGACTTGCTTTATTTTTCTTGAAGACGTTTCACTGGACATCCGACCAGCTTTCTCAATTTAGAATGACTTGTACAAAAACATTTCTGGGAATAAATATGGTGAATGTCACTCCAATCCACATATTTGGATTGGTTGTGACCGATTATGTGGATTGGAGTGATATTCACCATATTTATTTCCAGAAATCTTTTTGTACAAGTCATTCTGAATTGAGAAAGCTGGTTGGGTGACCAGTGAAAAGTCTTCAAGAAAAATACAGCAAGTCCAGTTGCCTTGACTTATTTTTTACAGATATACAACACCAAGATTTACATAAGTGTGTCATCATTGAGTCAGCATCTCAGTCCAGCAAGTTGAGGCTAACCTTGGAAGATGACTGAACAAAGATGGCTCCATCCTTCTGGGGAGTAAAGCCGATGAATACATTGTCAGAGGGAGTACTGTGATCTCTGTGAGAGGTAATAAATACCTGGAAGAGTTGCACATACATGTTACATGGTCTGCCTGTACATGACATGAACAACATATCTGATGCTCAGTCTACTTTATATTCTCCCATAGACAGCCGATATTCCTCGGTAGTATCCATGGCTAGGCTAAGACTAATCTCTGTTGTTGTTGTTGTTTCCTTGTAGGATTTAATGTGAACAACAAGATCCAGCAGAGCATTGCGCAGCGCTACGCTTCCAGAGACCTGACTGTTAACTTTGACGCCTTCATTGCCTGCATGACTCGTCTGGAGACTTTGTTCAGTAAGTGAGAGATGAGCCAAACTACAAACTATTGTGCAATGCTGAACCCACGGACCTTACACAGACCTTACACAGACCTTACACAGACTTTACACAGACTTTACACAGACTTTACACAGACCTTACACAGACCTTACACAAACTTTACATATACCTTACACTTTACACAGACTATACATAGATCTTACACATACCTTACATAGACTTTACACAGATCTTACACAAACTTTATACAGACTTTACACACACTTTACACAGACTTTACAAAGACTTTACACAGACCTTACACAGACTTTACACAGATCTTACACAAATGACGTTACACAACCTTTACTTCACTTTTCAGTGCTGGCATGTTAGTGCTTTTTACTTTTTAGTGCGGGGCTGGTATAGTTTAGTGTTTAGGCTTTAGGTGGCAGATGAGGTTAGGGGTTTGGTTAGTGTTGGGGTCATGGGTTAGAGTGTTGAAGATGGTGTTAAATCTAGGGTTGGGGGGTTGGATATAATGTAGGTGTTAGAGTGCAGATTAAGTGTTAAGATTGGGGTTTATATTAGGTGTTAGGATTATAGGTGAAGTTCCTTTTATAAAAGTTCCCCCCAGCTAATAGCACAGCACTAGGGCCCCTAGATGGCACTGACAAGTAAAGGAATTTCCTATACTCATCAGCGCCATCTAGGGGTGCCAGTGCTATGTGAACTTTTATAAATGAACTCCTTAATCTACAGTTTAGCTGTTGTATTCTGACATTGGTGATGTGCCGCTGTCACAATACCCCAACAGTGACTGCAGCTGTGGTTCAGCCGAGAATATTCAAATCAGCTTCATTGACAAAAGTCCATTGAAAGAATGGAGAGGCGTCTACTGGACCGCGCACTGGCTGAAATTTGACCGGTGTATGGCCAGCTTCAACCGACGCAACGTGTTACAATATTCACAATCCATGGCTGCAATCTTCATTCCTCTGACCTTGCTTGCACAGCTGACCTCCATTCTGTGGAGCCGTCCCCTGATAATGGTGATGTTAATGAGGCAGACAACTTTTATTTACGGTAGCTGGTCAGGTGGTGCTGCGGACTCACAGCGGGGGTAGGAACCCACTGGCAGGAAGCAGACCGGAAGATCCAAGAGCGAGGTACAAGAGGGCAAATCCAAAGGAGTAGTCAAGTCCAGTCTGGGCCGAGGCAGGCAGCTAAGGTTCAGAAGCGATAGGTAGGCCAAGGGGTCGGTAACCAGGAAGTTTGGATGAGGGGTCAGGAAGCAGCGGTAGGAACAAACAAAGGGGCTAGATGATCACGCTGTAGAGGTGGAATAACTCAGCAACAAGCCAGGGCTCTGACCAGGTTTTATAGCCAGGGGAATCAAAGCCACTCCCTAGTCGCCGAGGCAACCAGGAGGCTTCTCCGTCCGGGAGCCAATGGCAGGAAGGGAGGGATGGAAAGGTGTGTGCTGGGAACCTCCCTCAGCAAGGCCCACACCTGACGGCCTTAATGGGCGCAGACGCGCTACGTGTGCGCCCCCGTGCACGCGCACAAAGCCTGTCTACCACGTGCCCGGAGCGCATCTCGCGCATGCCCACCTGCACCCCTGGCGCCAGGAGTTCTGAAAGGGCCGAAGGAGCCCCCGTTCCCTACACCAGACCAGGTGGCCCCGAGGAGAGGTGACCCCCCTGCTTCCCTGACATCAAGAGGGATAACTGTAGTTTATGTGATAGCACAGTTGTCCTGTCTTCATTTTGCCTGACTTTGTCTTGTAGCTGTGAGTATAGTCCATGCCCCTAAGCATGCTATAAGTCAGTAAAAAAAGTGAGGTGTGCCTACTATGACACATGACTTGCCCGAGGAATGCAAGTGCTGCAGCACAATTACCTAGTATATAACCAATGATTAAACTCCTAGTTTGGATGTTCCAGGGGATTTCTGCAATTTGACCATAAGCTCTGTGCAGACTGGGAGAAGCAGCAAGACAGTCATAAGGAAGGGGAGGAAGGTAATGATGGCGGCCCGGGAGGACAGTATATACTGTATGTACTGGTATATTGGCTTACTAGGTGACTGAAAAGTAAGCTATCAGCCACTACAGAGCTGCATGATGAGTCTCAGAGTCTCTTTAACCCCATACACAGCACTGACAGCACAAATCTCAATCTATTGGGTCTTTAAAATGATTTGTTGTTAAATAAAATGCATTTATGAATTCTCTTTCAGAAATATTTAAGCTTTTGGACAAGGATGGCAGTGGACATATCGATCTGACCGTACCAGAGGTATGGTAAATTGTATTGAAAGCGTATTTCTCCGTTCTGTAGTCTTCCTGAACTGGCTGCAGGACTAGCAGACATCTACCTGTATGTGTGGGCAAGACTAACAAAATGTTTGGTACCTCCCACCAATATAAGCACATTCTCCCACGTTTCATTCAGTTAAAAGAGAACTATCGACCTACCACCAGGGTTTTTTCATAAACTGCGACGCTTGTTCACCACGTTTGTATGGGCATGGCATCCCCGAATCGGGAATAAGATCCTTACGCTACAGAAACAACACGGCGGAGCGGGACTCCCTGACATACGCATGTACTACAGGGCGGTCCACCTTGCCAGGGTAGTGGATTGGACATGTCACCAGGAATGCAAACAATGGGTGAAGATGGAACTAGAGGATCATGGGGCACCCCTTAAGGGCCTACCGTGGATTTCAGCGCCGCTCACCTCGGCTCTGCTGTCGCATCCCACTATTGGGGCAACGCTGAGAACAGCCCGAGAGACATTTAAAAACACATCCGTCTCCCCATTCCCATCCCCCATGACCCCTGTGCTGGGGGATCCAGACTTTGGTCCTGGTATGGCCGACGCGCGCTTTAAGGACTTATACAAGGCAAATAAGTATCGATTACTAGATCTCTTCGAGAACGGACACTGGCTTCCCCAGGCCTCCCTTAGCGCATTAGTATCTCCCCCCTCAGCACTTGGGCTGCCATGCAATTGAGACACTTCCTAATGGCGATTCCCCACTCTGCGCTGCCCACACGGGTTCTTACGCCATTTGAATCCTTATGTCAACAAGGTCAACCAGTAAGGCATGTGATTGCGACCGTATATGGGATGCTGATATCCCCCCCACAGGACTATTGTCCCCCATTCCTACAGAAATGGGAGGAGGAGCTGGGTCAAGTGTTCACGGGGGAGCAAAGGGCCAAAGCCCTGTTGGCCACCCACAAAGCCTCCATGGCCAACCAGACTCAAGAGCAGGGCTACAAAATCCTCTCCAGGTGGTACAGGGTCCCCAATCTCCTACATAAGATCAATCCATTAGTACCATCCACCTGTTGGAGATGCGAGTCAGGGAGAGGTACGATGTCCCACGTTTTTTGGTTTTGCCCCAAGCTCAGACCCTTTTGGGACACTGTCAGGGACATCATAAATCAACTCACCATGACCGACTTGGGAGACCTGCCTGCGACCTACCTACTACACATGTCGGCTATGCCTATCACCAAATACAAGAGGTCTCTCACTATTCATCTACTCTCTGCTGCCAAGGCGTGCATCCCTATGCTGTGGAGACAAACCACCCCCCCTGCCATGCGCATGTGGTTTGAAAAGATCAACGACGTATATAGAATGGAAGATCTCTCCTCGACTGTACACAACTCCGAGGCGCGCTTCGGCGCAACCTGGGGAGCATGGCTCCATTTCCGTTACTCCGATACATACCTGCGGGTCATGGCGGCCTGAGTGCCTAGGCTGGTAATGCTGCCCGGGGAATAAGGGCTACTACCTATACACTTTCCTCCCTTCTTTCCTTTTCCTCCTCCCCCCTGCTGTTAGGGAAGTAATTCCCACATATGTTTATTTTCCGATAAAACAATGTAGGAAAGACTCCTAGCGCTCCTACGATGTAGGAGTTTTCCTTACAGTACGTTAGTGGTAATTCCACCTTCTCATTGTAACTGTTTCGCTTACTATGACTCTTCAGAAGGTGGTACTGACTGTTGGTATACCTAGATGCGGAAGGCTGATATCAGTGATGTTTAATATTACGATGAATATGTTACCAATTCACTGGATATGGTGACTCACGTGTGCTTTGGAATATACCTGTTAAACAGATTATGTCCTGATGAGTTGCAGGCCCGCTGTTGGAACCAAGCGCGATTCAGGAATGTGTTATTTTCTTCTGTACCAAAGCTTGAGCGGTACGCCGCACACTGCCTATGTATGCACATTTTGACTTGTTTATGAATAAAGAGAATTAGAAAAAAAAAGAGAACTATCGGCCAACAAATAGTTCTCTTCGGGGTCACAGGAGCACATATACTAATGTCCTCCTGTGACCCAAAACTCAGCATTATATGCTGACCGCACAGAGCCGCGCCGCAGCTGGGACGGATCCCGACAATACTGTAGAGATCCACCCCACTGGCTGATTGGCAGCTGGCTCTGCCTATCTAGAGCCAGTGTCAGCTGTGCCCGCCCCCTCCCCGGTCCGTTCCTCCAGTCAGTGCTGGAGAGGGGAGGGAATCCATGCGGGGAGCGGTGACTGAGTGTCATTGCTCTTTGCAGGGAGAGGATCAGGAAGTCAGGGATCGGCGGTATGTGTTTGCTGACTTCCCGACCAATAGAGCCGACCTGTGACAGGTTCAGTGTCACAGGTCGGCTTGAATTATGGGGATAAGTGTTTTTCACTCACCCCATAATTCTCCTTTAAATACATCTAAAAAAAAATACTTGTTGATGTGCCAGAAATCCTGTGGGCTCCTAATGTCCTGTAGTGAGCTGACAACTCTTCTGCACCTTAGATCGCCCCTTCTGGACTACAGAAATCTTTCCCCTGTGCTATAGAGTTGGGGGGGGAGGGGGTTCTGTACTTCAGCCTTATAAACAGCCTATGGTGACAACACTGCTTTTCCATAGATACAGTACAGTGAGTAAGCGTTCTCACCCTAGTACAGGGCGTGTATTGCTGGCAGAATCACCAGGTTATATTAAAGATTAATAAGCTTGAAAAAAAGAAAACTAATGCAGCCGCCACATCTAAGTATTGGTAGGCTACAATATATCACACTTTTTTTCATTTGGTTGAGATACACTTTAAACAAGTCCCCAGGAGCCTCAAACCTCCCTGGTACACTAATATGCAAAATCTGACACCTCTTACCAGTGGTGAATGTTGTCCCCCCTCCTACCATCTCCTTCGTATTGAGCCATCACCTAAAGTGAATCTGTGCATGCCACAGCAAGACCAACAGGTTCACATACATACCAGGAAGAGCAGGAGTAAGTTCTGAGTCACTGGACACATAGCTTACACAGTGTTATGGTCTCCCTGTATGACAGTGCTGATTGGTCCAGTGCTGTCACATGGAGTGAGTCACATGCTCCTTCATACCTGGAAGTACTGGGTATTTTCTTGGTACTGAACAGAGCAGCCAGAGAGCTAAGAAAAAGGCAAGTATGTTCTGCTGGGTATGGGTTTTAGGTAAATTGGGATTACCCGGGGATTGGGTAAAGCAGAGGTTTGCTTTACTGTCCAATAGGAAGAGGTGTGGGATGCGGGAGGGGGTGGGGACAGTTTACAGCTAAGCAATGTCAGATTTTGCACATAACATTAGGGCACCCGGCAATCTTAGCTTGGAAGAGAAGGTAAGTAATCACCTGAAGGGAGGAATGGTTCAGCTTGGGGTAGTTTAGAGTACTAGGGAGGGGGGCTGGGAGATTTTGATATTATTAGCGATCTTGTCCTTTAAGGCACAGGAGGCATGGCTTATAAAATACACTAAACCTATATAACTGACAAATCAACTGCATTGCCTAAGCTAGCACCATGATTTACAGCATATTATTGGCTGGAACAGAATAAGAACAGTATTATTAACAGAAATATAACAATATATATTAACAGTCTCAATATCGCACTTTTGACCCTCATTCAAGCTTATTGTCACCTTTCTTATCTCCGCAGTGGCTTTGCGCTACCCTGGTGTAGAAGACGTCACGGATGGAACGGATTCACCTTTTTTGTTGTTATTTTATATACTTTTGCAACTTTTTTTTTTTATGATCAGATGTCAATAGGCATGCCATTTGTACCAGTTATCATAATTGACAGATACATTAGAAGTTTATTTGTTGGCTGTGTTCTGTTGGTTGAACTAGATACATTGGCATCACTTACTGTAACCGATGTTCAGACTGTACGATTCCCCGGTGCTGTCCTTTGATGAGCACTTGGCTTGGTGTGAGTCTACGCATTTCTTTACATGGTGAAGAAATATTTACCTTACTAATAAACTTGTCATTGGAACCGTCCTATGTCTCCTTTTTACATCAGTGACATTGGATACAAGTCTATTTATAATTGATTATATATAAGAACAATCAATACGTCTGTGTCTGCCCCTGGGACCAGACTAGACATGTGCGATTCATTTTGGAAAAATTTGTTTTTCGATGAATTTTCGTTATTCTGAGATTTGGATGTATTCGAACTTCCGAATAACAGTATTGACGAATCAAAACAAATCCAAATTTTGGAAAACGAAATTTCGGACTAAATTCATTAGCGGTAGTCTGTACGATTTTTCAACAAAACGAACACGAAATGGAAACTAAATTTCGTACAGACTACCGCTAATGAATCTCGTCTGAACCCGAATCCCGAAACAAATTGACTTTCAGACCCGAATCCCGGAAAAAGAAATAATGCAAAATCCGAATCAAAACGAAACAAAACAATTTTTTTGCCAGTGCACATTTCTAGACCAGTCTGCTATGAACAGTCACTGTGCATGGCCTTGTAGGTGAACTCACCAGCTCAAAAGCAGTGTTCTGTCATAAAATTCTATCTCCCTCTCTTCCCCTTGGGGCTTATTCATACTGGCCAGGTCTGTTGTGGTGCATTTAACACACGCATGTTGATGTGCATTGCATTAAGGCATCCTATTAATTTCATTGGGCTGCCTAACGCACTGCCACGAGACCGAAAATTGTACCTGCTGCATTGTTAAATCATAATTCAGCACAATAGCGCGTTATTGCAAAGTGCTGCGCACTGCAACGCAGGTGCATTGTGGAGGTATGGTGCTGTTTAAAATGAAAAGAACTGCAGCACACCAAGGCATTTAACATGCAATAACTAAAATTGAATCAAACAATTGTTCAAGGTGCCATAGATGTTTTGCCTACATTCATTCAATCAAGTTTGTCTGCCCAGATCATAATCATTTTGAAGGTTTACTGCATTCGAATGGGTCTGAACACAAATTTTCATTACAGCAACATGGGAGCCATATACAGTATACTGTATACATATCATTCTAAAGCTGAGGCTCCTAGACCCAAATGGCATTCGGGATCTGAATTTCCAAATTGCATTGGGGAGCTCCTGAATGCCATTCGGGTCTGAGAGCCTCAGCTTTAGTAATATATGTATATGGCTCCCAGACCCAAATGGCATTCAGGACCCGAATTTCCGAATTGCATTGGGAAGCTCCCGAATACCATTCGAGTCTTGGAGCCTCAGCCCTCAGCTTTAGTAATTTATGTATATGGCTCCCAGACCCGAATTGGCATTTGGCAGCTCCCCAATGCAATTCAGAAATTGGATCCCGAATGCCATTCGGTTCTAGGAGATTCAGCTTTAGTATTGATATATGTATATGGATTTCTGTTGTATTTGCAACGAATATTCGTAAACTCATCCGAAACTAACGAAAATTCGGATTTCGTCTGAATCCGAAACCCGATCCGAATTGAATTTCGGATCCGAATCCTGAAATAACGAAATATCTGAACCGAACGAAATTTTTTCATACCTTACATGTCTATTACACAGAGAGAGTAAGGTGACACCCCACAGTTGACACTTAAAGAGACCCTGTCGCTAGACCTTCAATGTCAAAAATAATCTTCCCGTAAGAATATATGTGGATTTAAAGTATTTCATAATTGTTATTTACCTGTAAAAGCCTCCCATGTGTAGACATCCAAAAACCCTGAGACTGCTGCTGGGCACCACCATCTTGGATGTGAAATCGGCAGCCCCAGCAGACTCTCACTCAAGTGACTCAAGTGACTCACTCAAGTGACTCTCAACAGACTCTATATATACTTGCAGCTCTTTCTTTTCTATATACAATTTTTTTTATTCACATGCAATGTGCCTCTCAACATGCTATCAAATTTGACTGGTCAGTTCCCCAGCACAGCCCCTTCCCTCCTTGCATGTCATAGACCCCTCCTTTTCTGGGAGTGTCTAATTACTGTCTATGCTGGCCCAACTGCTCCACTCCTCCCCTCACCTCCCTACATAACCTTTTATGTAGCTGCCGGGGAAGAAGGTAAGGAGAATAATATACAGTCACTTTGCAGCTACATAAAAGGTTATGTAGGGAGGTGAGGGGAGGAGTGGAGCAGTTGGGCCAGCATAGACAGTAATTAGACACTCCCAGAAAAGGAGGGGTCTATGACATGCAAGGAGGGAAGGGGCTGTGCTGGGGAACTGACCAGTCAAATTTGATAGCATGTTGAGAGGCACATTGCATGTGAATAAAAAAAATTGTATATAGAAAAGAAAGAGCTGCAAGTACACATTTGAAATCCTTGACATTTCTGTGCTTTTACCAGCAATTTTAGTGGCGATGTTTATTAGGATTTGTGTTTATTTTATTAATCTGCCTTTTAACAAATAAACTTAAAACAGTGGCTGATGTATGTCGGGGAGCGGCTCCATACAAGAGGAAACCAGCTACACCGAAAGGAGCATAAAGACAGGATAAGGAGATCTGTAAGATAAGAATGTGTTGGTTGTGTGTATTTTGAGGCTGGTCAGAGTACTCGTCCCCTCTACATACCTCCCACCTTTCTGAGATGGAGAAGAAGGAAGTGTTTATGCACAAAATAGATTTAATGCTCCATTTTAGTTAAACTTACACTTTTATTTTTAACAGAAATGTAATATATCACAGCTTACCAGTCCTTAGATGAGACGGTTGTGTTAGTTTCCTTTTTCAAATTATTTATTTTTTTCCTTTCACCTGCAAGTAACACACTTCCTGTCCTAGGGTGACAACACTCACATACTGTACTGTCTGTGGAGGAGCAGTGTTGTCACCTTAGAACAAGAGGGGTACAGAATATCCCCCCCTTCTAATAAGTACAAATCAGATATATTGGGCTGCTGCCCATTCAGACCTTATATCAGAGTGAAAACTGCAATCAGTGACAACTGCTTGGCGTTTTATAGCAACCTGACCCCATTCAGACCTGCAACCACTGACTGTAGGTTCCCTTCTAATGGAGGTTTGAATGGGGGGCAAGTTTAATCTATGTACAATATATCTACAAACCAGAGACGGATTTACAGTATATCTATCCAATACGTCTGATCCCAGTCTAATGTCTTGATGCCTCCTGCCCACCAGTTGTATATGGGAGAGGGAGAGGGGTGGAAAGGAAAAAAAAAAGGTCAGCTACCAGAGCCATGAAGTCCCACTGACCTCACCCACTTTACATGACCACCATAGGAAATGTCCCTGCCATGAAAAGACCAGCTGTTGTGTGCCCCCCACATTCCCGATCCTCCCTCCTGAGCACAATGGCAATTTTTCTAATTAAAATTTAGAAGTGGTATATCACATGTACGTCCAACTTTGGGTCTCATATTGATAGCTGTAAATAAGGATGTTTTTATGTTTCTCTAGAAATTAGGGATAGATTCTAAAGGGTCTCTTTATAAATCTCCTGCCAACCATAAAATGGGTGAATGCAGTTCGAGGGCATTCCAGCCACTAGATGGAGCCCAGGCAATTCCTCCTCCATAGGCAATGGCTCCTTGGCTACATCTAGTGGCAGGAATGCTGTGCGAATGGCTCAGAGATATTGGGTTAAATTATGCTGGCTGTTTTTAACCCCTTCGTGACTGACGACGTACAGTGTACGTCGCCAGCATCGGGGCTGTTTAAACAGACTCCCGGCGACTTTTGCCGCCGGGAGTCTGTTTAAACTTGTAGAGCCGACTGTCGGCTTTACAAATTTCAATGTTAGCTTTTAATGGGCTATTCGCTTACTCTGTACTGTAAGGATGCTATAGGTGTTGCCAGCTTTAGTATATGGCCAGCTTTAAAGGCAAGTCGGCTATGATGAAGAGAAGTGTTTTGGTCCAAAATACAGGTTGAGTCTTTAGGTTAGTAACAGCTGGGAGCCATTCCAGTAACCAGAATTGCATAACAGATTAGAGATAGCCCACAGCCGTCCAGCTGTATATCCTTCTCATACATTCTATACATGTCATTGCAATGAGGGCTGTCAGCCATCAACTCTGTCCTTTTATCTTTACTGCCCTGTAACTTTCTTTGAAGTGACCTCAGGCCCTATAAAATGTTTGGCTGCCGGTCACATCTTTCTTCTCCTAACCGCCCATTCCCTTATACCCTCTCATCCAATCTACACACAAACAACAGAAAGTAACACAACATGTCCTGTCATTATCTGCAACCAGACAGCCAACACATGACAGGAACAATTAAACATGAGAGGCAGGCTCCAGCCTAGCCTGGCGCCAGTAAAGAGGTCAGCAATAAAATGGCCGGTTAGGAGGAAGAAAGTGGTTTTGTTTCTTCTGGTAATGGAATTTATTTTGGAAAACATTTCCTTGCTGTAACATAAATGGTTGATAAGCGTCCACCATTTCTAAGGGCCGGTCCAGTTTTAAAAATGTGTCTTTTGTATACATGCCTGCTGTTATTAAAGTTAAATACGTGGCCAATTTTCGACCAGTGTATGGCCTGCTTTGTGAAAAAAAGTTGTTAAAATGTCCGGTGGCCATAACATGTATAGGAACCCATGAAAAAAATGCAGGTGAGTTGGAATGCGTTGATGTGTGTCAACATGCATTTTTATGCAGGTTTCCAATTGCATGTATTCCATTGCACTCCAGACCGGAATCGCAATAGAGTTCTCAGATGGCTGATAGAATGACCTGCGGAT